GGCACATCACCGATGCCCCCATCTGAATTGGCCTGAATTGGATGCCGCGACGGCGGCCAGATAAGCTCCATGGCCGTTAGTGGTAGATGACATGCGCCATGCAACGACGTCCCAGCGAGTCTCACCCTGTTGCAAGTGCATCCGCAATGGCTTGCATCGCACAGCGTGACGGGCCTCAGATTCCCATCTAAAAGCGCATTCTAAGCAACCCGCCGCCGGTTTCCCCCTTTGAGGCAAATAAGATTGGTTGCAGAGACGCGAACAGGGCAGCGGCATTTGTGCGCGCTGCAGCTAGGCCGCCCCCCTTCCCCCCATTCGACAATGCCTTGTTGAAATCGAGGAGGCCGCTGTCCGCTCGCCGCCTCGTCCCCCAGATGACTGGCTCCGCTTGTCGGCGCAAAAATTTCATTGGCCGCCGACATGCCTCACAAACTTGCTTCTTTTACAGAAAAGGAACGCAAGCCTCGCGCGACGCGAAGGGCTTCTTGGACCCTCCTTTCGGTCTAGGACATGGCCAAGCCGGAGTCCTAGAAAATGCTTGGAAGACTCCACAGAAGAATGAACACACGTGTCGTGTGACCAAGCACCCGTAGACGTGGCTATTCGCAGTGTATTTAGCTCCTTGGGTTGCTCTTGTCCGACCGGTTGGGGCGGGATGCTCCTCCGACGAAACCTCCGAGTTACCTAATAGCCCGCTCCGGCCATCCGGTATTGATCTTGAGTAAGCGCGACGCCACCGGGACGAGAACCGACATCAACCAAAAATTGTTCAACCAAGAATCCATTGACGCTGTGTCTAAGAAATGTCTGCCCAAAACGCCGCCTGTGACTAACGTACAGCCCGAGATAGCCGTGTAGAGGTTTCCACCCGCCACGCTTCATGCCGAAACGCCTTCGCCCTGTTCCCATTGTCCACTTGCCGAACCAACGGGTATCTCCAGTTATACCGCAACCGCTTCAGTCTTGGTATCCACCTTCTTAGCCGGTGGCGCCTCGCCGCCGTCGTCCTCCCGGGAACGCTTGTTGCCATTGCTTTGTGTCGTCGCCTGGATCGTCGGCCTCTGGACGCTACGCCGTGTGTTAGCGGTCTGGTTGATTCAACGAACAAAAGACTTACTTGTTGGTGCTCTTCGGCGGGCCATCATCCTTGTCCTTATTCCCCCGGTCCTGACGGTCACGGTCCCCACGACCGCCCTTGAAGCCCCGACCACCGCCCCTGCCGCCCCGACCACCACGGCCTCTGCCACGCCCGTTGCGTCCGTCCCTCTTCCGGTCGTCATCCCTGCGCTGTTTCCAGTTGTCCTTGTTTCCATCGTTGCCGGCCCGACCTTGGCCCCGGGCCTGGTTGCCACCCTTCTCTCTGCCCTCAAAGAAAGTGGGAGGACGCTTCTTGCTGGGCTCAATCTCACCGGCTTGGATCTGTCGGGTTTTTTCGTCCATGTAGCCCGCCTTGCTCATGATCTTCAGCTCATTGCCGTTCCACATCGGGGCAGGAGACAGCGAGACAAAATTCTTGGCCAGCTCCTCGGTTTTGAATTCGACGAAAATGGAACCCTTGAACTCGTCATTCTCGTCCCGCCGGAGCTTCACCTTATCGACAGCTCCATAGTTTGCGAGCCACTGCTCGATGTCAAATTGGGTTGTTTTCTGCTCTTCGCCAAATCCCTTGATGTAGACGCTCTTGGCAAGGCGCTGCTTCTGCGCAAGCGGAACTGACTTGTAAGGGGTTACTCGCTTGACCAGCTCATTGCCCTCATCGCCCGTCACCTCCAAGAGCTTGCTTTCCCTCAGAGCTGCCACGACCGCGGTATAAGGCTGGAATCTCTGCATGCGCTTGAAACTGCAGATCACCTTGAGGGACATTGCTTTGTTGTCGGTACCGCCAGTAGAGTTCCACATAAACTTATCCGTCGGTAGGTTGCTGTCGCCAAAGTAGAATTCCACCTGTTCCCATGTCAGAAGAAGCAGGATCCACAGGGAATGGAAGATATACCTGAGCACGAATGGCTTCCGGATCGTCTGTGACGGGCAAGACTGACGGATCAAACTTGCTATTCTTCTTGGCGACGGGGCGACCATTTTGGGAGGAACCGTTCTCCTCGCCATTTTGTGTGTTCTTGGCCGATTCTACACTCTCCGTCTTGTTTTCTGCTTCCTCGGGCTTCGCCTCGGGCTTCTCCTCGGACTCCTCCTTGGGCTTGTTCTCGACCTTCTCGGCGGTGGTCTCCTCGACAGGAGCATCCACTGGGGCATCAGCGACAGGGGCGTCGACGACCTGAGCAGGCGCCTCGCCTTGCTCCATGGTGGATTGATCGCTCATATTGATGTTCTTTCGAGAAATTTGGTGCTATGAGGAAAGGTTAGAAAGAAAAGAGGGAAGAAAGTTGAGTGTGTTCGAATTTGTTCTTGGTGGGGTAGAGTTGCCTGTGGAAAGAGTCACAAGGGTAGGACTGGGTTTAGGATCGGTGGGGAGTCAAAGCTTTTGATCTCACCACTCACTGCTTTTGCTTAGAGAATTCGGCCTTCTTGCACAGTTTTGAGTTACACTAAGGCGTCGTAGTGCTGTTTCGTCGTTTCGCGGTCAAAAATGGTACAATCGCCAACCCCCTCGAGCTGCTATCGATGCGCGCGAACCAAAAAAAAGATCACTTTGACCTCACTCAGTTCCCAACGGCAATTTAGTGCCCCTCCCCACCGCCCAACCTTGATCCCCAGTCCCCACTCGGTACTGCGTATCTGGAACCTTATCTACCGAAGCACTCTTTCCTCGACTGTGGTGTATAGATGGCAATCTGTTAATCCACATTTTCCCTTGGACCTTTCTCAATGTTCAACAGCCGCTCAAACAAGAAAGAGAGGTTGGACTTCCTGGAAGGCTGTTCCGAAGGCTAAGACGGCGTTTCTCACTGATCGACCACATAGCACATCAACTATCTAGAACCATAGCACATCTTGAAATCCAAGCGAACAGTGCTAGAACTTAACTACATTAGCGATTAACAGAGCCGTGTTCCTTCGTAAATGTGCACTGCTCCTGGACTTCAAGTTTGGGACAAACCAGTCTTGGCGTAAGTGGATCCATAACGACCCCTGTCTGCGCATTTCACTTGCACGTGAGCCCGCTTCGCGCGGATAGCTCCATCAAATTTTTGGCGTGTCTGGCCAGGACGTCGTTGGCAGCTGGATTCGCGACGGCACCACCCCATCACCATACCTCCCCAGCAGGCAATTGGCCGCTTCCGCCATGAGGCACCGCAGGTTAGCACGATACTACGACCTGGCACGGCCGGTGAGCTTTTTCTCTGGAACAAGTGCAAGGATCAAGCTAACAGACGGATTCTGAATCTCAGCGCCTTCGCCTGACGTGGAACAAGAAGAACCTCTATAACATAGTCAACTACCGGCTGCCCCGGTTGACAAGCAAGACTTTCTTCCAGCAAAAATGGCTAGCAAAGGCTGCGACCCGCGGGTACCACGGCGAACACGTCAAGGAGTCGCAATGGGAGCGCATGTTTAGCCGGCGCATCCGCTCCGTCGTCAACATGGAGCCCGCCTACATGGCCCAGCATGACGGGAGCGAGCACGCCGAAGGTCGTGGCTCAGGAAAGATCCGATCCCTAGAGGAGAATCCGCGTTCGCAGACACCACACATGCAAATGACATTTGCCCCGCTCGAACGCCGCCTCGACATCGCCATCTTCCGCGCCATGTTTGCCAGCAGCGCCAGGCAGGCCCGCCAGTTCGTCATCCATGGTGCGGTCAAGGTGAACGGGAAGAAGGTGAGCATCGTTCCTCCCCAGGTCGCCCCTGGAGCGCCGCTGACTTGTGTACCGCGTAGATGATCTACCCTGGTTATCTGCTGAATCCAGGCGACATGTTCCAGGTTGATATCGACAAGGTGCTATACGCGACGGGGAAACCAAAAAGACAAGACCTCAAGACCCCACCACAAGAGAGCGAGGAAGGCGAGGAGGTCATCGAAGAGGAAGCTGTCGAGGAAACCGCCGTCGAGGGAGTCGAAGGAGAAGAGGCGGTCGCCGAAGGGGAAGCTAGCACCGAGGAGGATATTGAAACACTCAAAAAGATCCGGGCCGCCGTCAAGGCCTACTACAAAGCCAACCGGGAACAATCATCGGCCAAGCAAAAGGTCGCTCTGCGCGCCATTCTCAAGGAGAGCAAGGCAGCTCTCGCGGCAGCGGCGAAGGCCGACGCCAACGTCGGTACCGTGCCATACTACGTCGACAAGTTGACCGACCTGGTTGGCAAGCTCAAGCTCAACTCGGAAACTCAGGAAGAGGACAAGCAGGCCAGCGAGGAGATACACCGCGCCCTCCAGGAGGTGCCGGAAACGCTGGCCAAGACGCCAAACCAGATCAAGCCGTACCTGGTCCCATGGCGGCCACGCGAGTTCCTGCCCGCTTTTGCCTTTATCCCGCGCTACCTCGAGGTGAACCAGAAGATCTGCGCGGCCGTCTATCTTCGCCACCCGGTGGCGCGTGAGGGCATGGCCGAGGTGCCCACGCCCTTCCCGAGGATAATTAGCCAGCTGGCATTCAACTGGTATCTGCGGAGGGGTTAGAAAAGATGTTGGGGTGGTGTACGGACCAAGTTTTACATAGGCTCGGCCTGGACGATGTATGTACTCATGTATACTGTACTATAATTGCGGAATAGACGTGGAGGTGGCGTACCCAATGCGTTCCTCCTATCCTGGGGTTATACCCAATGTGATTTTTCCTATGATGAGTCAAGTGTATGCAGTTGTCGGCCCTGTCTGCCCAAAAAGAAGAGTTGCCTGTTTGACACTGAAAGGGCTCCCGAGTTCCTTGGCTTTTATGAGACATTTATGTCTCCGCACACGATCACAATCTGAAAGTTAGACGGGGCGGGCGTGACCTGTGTTGCTGGTACAATTCGAGATGTTGCTGACCATTGCTTGTCGTCTAGCATGTCCGCAAAGACCAAAAAAGAGATATTCCACCCCTAAAGATGGGAGCGAATGGGCGGGCTGGGATTCGAACCCAGGTCTCTCAATGAACGCTCTAATAATAGACAACGAAGAGAGACAAAACAACGCTGATTAAAGAAATACGCTCACGGAGCACGCTTGACCACTGCGCTACCCGCCCTTGTGGGTTTATTATACGACCTAAGGTGTGGTTTGAGTTTATATACCATACCCACCCAACCACCGTCACTTCCAACCAGGTCTTCGCCAAAATAATAGACGTGCTGTCATGACTGAGGACGGCCATAGCTCTTGTTTAATCGATATACTATCAACTAAGATATTTGTGTATAGACATGAGGGCTTAAGCTACGAAAACTCTCCATCCGCAAGAAAAAAGGAAAGAAGAAAAAGAAGAGACCGAAAGAAACGGTAGAACCTCGCGAGAAAATGGAGTTGTTTAATTAGGCAGAGTGTATACATATATACACACATACCACTGAGCACACAAGAGCATCCGTCCAACGAGACAACAGAAGAGACATGACAAAGGCAAGAGCCAGGGACTACCCATTTCAAGACGGACAGACTACAGAGACAAAGGACATCAATCACCACACCGGTATAAAGATCATCACTACCTAGTATATTCAGCTTCACATCAAGAAACCAGCCAGCTTAGGAAGGAAACCGTGGACGTCAACAAAGCCCAAGAGCCACAGCACAGTTTCAAGCAACAACACGACTTTTATTCTCCAGCCACACATACAAACACAAAATACCAACAACTTATTACATAGGAAACACACAAGACTCAAAAATTAACTACCAACTACAACAACAAACCACACAAAAGGAAATAAAGTCAGACAGACCAGACCATACAAAATACAGGATACACCCGTACACCCCGCCTGGATGGGTATCTCGTCGTGTTCATCCCTTCCTTCCTTGCCCCTTCCTGCTTCCAACAGGCAACTGGCCTCCTTCCTTTCTTTCCCTCCTCACCTGCTCAGACAGACTGCCTCATGACGCCGACTCGACACGAGGTGGACCGCTCCAACGGGTAACACAGCACCGAGGTATAAGAGTCTTGTTGATACCCGAGTCTAACCCACTCCCCGACCCACGCGCCTATCAGTCATGCCTAGAGCCCCAGAGGGAGGGAAGGAGGGATAAAAAAGTGTAATTGACAAAACCCCGAAACCAATTATATCTGCATGGAAGTGTTCAAGAACATCCGACCCGATCCCCAACCAGAGTAGAAACATCAGCTTTCTCGGAAGCCTAACCCTCTAATTTGACAGTGAAAAACCACTTTTGGCACCTAAAGAACTAGCGTAGATGCACCCTCTGGAGGATTTTTGGCCGCCTTCCACACTTTCTTTCCCGTGACTATTAGGAACTTGTTGATTAAAAAAAGGACAAAGAAAACAGAGAAGCGAAAGAAAAGAGGTGGCAGGCTGGTATTGTAAAGGTGTCATGACAGTCAACATGGTCGTGGAGAGGGTAGAGACGGAGCTGCAAGCTTATCGCAGCGAGAAGCCCTTTCTCTTGGGCTCCTTTTCGATCGGCCTTCCGCTCTCCAGCCTCTGCTTCTTCTCCTCGAGCTCGATCCGCTGCCGCTCCAACTGCTCCTTCATTTCCCGATGACGGGCGTACAGCTCCTCTTCGCTCTGCTTCAGCTTGGACTCCTTCTCGGCCACCTTTTGCTGGAAGACCATCTTCATCTCGGCCTCCATCTTGGCGAGCTTTTGCTCGTGCAGGGCGCGCTCCTCCTCCTGCTTGACGGCGGGATTGACCTCCTTGAAGACGCTCGGGTCTTGTGAGACGCCCATCTGGATGAGCTTGTCCGTCCGGTAATTCTCGTACAGGATGTTGTTGGTGTGCTCCTTGAGCTCTTCCATGTGGGTGCGGATGAGCATCTGGCGGAGCTTGACAAAGTCGCAGTGCTCCTCGTTGTCCACCTCAATCACACCCCACGGATAGCGACGACCACGGACCTTGCGCCCATCAACGTTGATCTCGTTCGTGGCACCGACGACGGCGAACGGAACCTTGGACAGTATCTCGTTGTTCTCAGCAATCGTCTCCTCGTCGTCGAGCTCGTAGCGGGGCCCCTCGAAGATCTGCACCTTGTGGAACTTGATGTCGGCAAGAATCTGCGCCAGAGATTAGCAGCCCGTCTTGTGTTATTCTTGATTGGACCTACCCTCTGCTTGAACGCCATGATCTCCTCATCGGTCAGGGTATCCGACTTCGCAATAACCGGAATGAGGTTGACCTTGGTGTGCAGACGCTTCATCACCTCGATGTCGAGGGGCTTGAGCGAATGGCCAGTGGGCTGGATGAAGAAGACGCAGGCGTGGATGCGGTTGTCGACAATGTTCATCCGGTTGACCTTGTTTTCGGCATCAAGGTAGGCATCGAAACGCTGTTCAATGTTGTCCACAATCGGCCGCCACGACTCGTCGTTGTTCACGAAGTCGCCAAAGCCGGGAGTGTCAACAACCGTCAATCGGAGACGAACACCAGCTTCCTCAATGTCTGCGCTGATGGACTGGATGGTAACCGTCTTGGGAATGATGTCGAGGCTGGGCTCCTTGCGCTCCTTGGGTGGGTACAGCGAGGTATTGAAGAGGGTGTTGACAAGCGTCGACTTTCCGAGGCCGGATTCACCTGCGTGCCCAAACGTCAGAGACGGCCATCCAGAGAGACTGTAAATACGTACCGACAACCATGACATTGAAGTTGAAACCCTTGCGAACACTCTTGCGGTGCCATTGGTTAGGCAGGTTGGCGAAACCGACGTAGCCCGTCAACTTTCTGCGGACAATGTTTCTGCTGTCGCTAGCTGGGGGAGCTACGGCCAGTGTGTCAGAAGCAAACGCATCTCGGGAATCTTCCGACATGGATGTAGGAGAGGCTATGCCACTCGCCACTGGGACGACGGGCGATGCCCTCGAAGGGGGAGAAGGAATGGTAGGGGTACCGTTTGAAGCTGCGACAAGCATCTTGTTAGCATATGTCCTCGACTCATGTGCTACCAAGACAATGGGATCTCGTGTCGGAGAGGTCGGCGGAGCCTAACTGCCAAAACGCCTCCGCAAGGGAAACTTGTTAAACGACATCGACTCGGTTGGCTTTGGATAGAGCTCCTCGTAGGATAACGGGTCCGCTGCCGGGAGCTGGGGGGCATCGTCCACATCCAACATGCTCCGGAAGTGGCGTATGGTGTTGACATTCTCCTTGTTTCCCACAGGCAGGCTGCTGGTCCTCAGTCCGGGAACGGGCGCGGACGTAACTTCTTCGCGAGACGAGTTACTAGCGTCCATTGTGTCCAGGCCGAGCATGCTCTTATCGAACTGGACGCTCTTGGTACGGGCCCGGGCAGCATGGTGGACCATGGTAGCGAAGTGCATTCTGGAGAATGCGGACACGATGAATTGCCGTGGTAAGATGTTCTCTTCCAAAAAAAAAGCGGATTCCAAGAAACGGTAGATGGTTGACAACGGATGCCGAGAGCGACTATCGGTAGAGCAAGTCTTGGTTGCTAGCAGAGAGGGAGAGGAGATCCGAGGAGAGACTCGAGGCGGTTTTGGTTGATCGACGACAGAGCAGGCGTGCGACGTGGTCGCTGTTCGTCCATCTGGCTTCCTGCTCTTTCCTTCCGGGACACATTGCACTTCCAGCAACAAACAGAAAGCAAGAGCTTACCCATCTCGACAGGAAACTGCGGCGGCGGTGCGGGGAATTGTGTTTGTTAGAAGGGAAAGCGCGAAGTCTGTGGTCAAGCCAGGTCAGTTAGGCTCCGGTGGTTTGTGTGTGGTGAAGAAAGTCCGTCCGAAGACCACATCCCCGAGCGCGACCCCCGAGCCAGAAAATGCCCGCCAGCTCCACCGCAACCCAGACATTGCACAACAGCGTCCCGACAGACGGCGACAGCGAACACGTCGGAGGCGGGGATGCAGGCGGGAGAAACAGTCGAGGGGGCTGGTGTTGCAATCACGTACCAGAAAAAAAAGACAGCGAGCGCGCGGGCGTGATCGCGTGTCGACGGGGTTGCAAAGCGCAACGTGGTTTATGAATTGGGCGGGTGAATCTGAAAGGTAACGCTGGATCGCGTATGGATGCGAAATGAGTGTTCGAAAGGTACAAAATAGTAGAGATGGGGAGCGTGAATGGGAGATGTTGAGGTGGTCGCGGCGAAGAAGGAAAAATTTAGGTGCGCCTTGGTGACTCTGGCTGGGAAGATTTCCCGTCTCACTTCTCTGCGCCAGGAGCAAAAGGGGTCACTCGGTGCTGGGCGCTGGGCTGGGAAACGGGACAGGGCAGGTGGCTTCTGGCAACCGACATGGGGATGGACCACTGCCAGAACAAGACAAGCACCAGGGGTATGAAGAGGGCAATTTACGACCAGGGGTCGGCGAGCTGCAGCTTGTGATTCGCCAAAGCCGTGCTATTGGCTGCCAATCGCCTCGAGCAGCAGATGTTCTGAAGCTATGACTTTTTTTCCCACATCGCATCGCATCTGCCACCGAAAGCTGGGGTGAAGAGTGCTTCTCTTCTCACCTGTGTGACTCGCATAATCCGAGGATGGACTTCTGTAAACGAAACCCGGCAGGAAAGATCATGTGAGGCCTGCAAGTTCACTTGGTCGGGCTTCCGTTGAAACGGTCCTTGGTGGAGAACCCCAGATTTCGCCGAGCTCCACAATTTGTTTTGCCAATCTTGTGCAGTTGCCAAACCGCAGCACAAGAGATCCGAATGATTGAGATCTCATTTCGAGGTCAATACTTGTTCGGTCCTCGAAAAAGTTTATCTTCACGTCATCGTCCATTCTCGCTGGAAACAATGTTTCAAACCCGCTCGGATTTTGGATCGCCATGAGGCAGGCCGAGCCCCTGCGCTGGAGGGACGCTGGACCAATGCGGCAGGGATTGTGGTTGCTCATGTGCAACCGTTGGAGGTCCCTATGAAAATCACTTGAGAATTCTCTGCCCGCAGCGTCTCCGCCCGTGTTGAGAGAAACCGCCCAATCGACGGCGTAGACGAAGTGTTCCAACCCGTCTTTGCCCAGTCTCGATGTGGCATCAACGCATTGGCCGCTCTCTTGCAGCTCGCCGTGGCACCAAGAGAAGAGGGGAAGAAAAGAAAAAGAAAGCCTGGAAGTTTTCATCG